ACGGATAAAGAAAGGAAGCTGTGAGGCTCAAAGGTGGTGTTTTGCTAGAACACACAGAACACAGGGATGGGAGTTAGTTATTGCCATTGTAACATTACCAGTGGATGCTCTCATGAAGAAACATCCAGCTTCCATTAAAAAAATGGTTACCATGAGCTGCCCAAATCATCTCAAGCATTTTGCATTTCGGGTAAAATTATTCCACAATTTTTGTAGTGTTGCACTTCAAAATGCATCTAACATGTATAACACAGTCACACTCTCCAGGAATTAATGTTACTGGATGTGTTCAAATATACAGACTATGTCTATCTATTTAGTATTTTGTATTACTTCCCATTACGATATGCACACCAAGCTCAACTGCAATCATGAGCATATCATCATCATGGAATAATAAAAGCAGTTGCTTTTGAAATTACACACTAGATTTTGTAGATGAAGAAAATCAACAAATATACTTCCTGGTAAAAGGACACTTGGACTTGACAGTGTTCAGAACTAACACCTTTCTTTTATTAATGGAACAATCAATACATTGTATTTTATTTTCAACATGAACACTAGAAATGTTAAATAAATTATTTTATGCTGTTTTGTTATTAATAGAGAAAATATGTTTGGGCAAACAAGCATGCATTATTTATACTAACATGTTTAAAACTTTGCATACCATGCTACTTCTCATCAGCAATACTCTGCAAATTTAGGTGTGTACATAATTATGTTTTTCTGCTGACATTACTTAAATTAATTTGTGTCATAACCAGGAACAGAGTTCAGTTCAACTTTTACTTAAAAATAAATCAAGCAACCTTCTTGCTTTCATTTTGCCTACGCCACGAAGAAGAATCTTCTCAGCTTCCTTCCTCTTCACATTTTTCCTCTATCTGGGGAAAATCAGTTACCAGCAAGTTCCAAAACTGAATCTATTTAAATAAGTCCAGGTACCATAAATTATATGAGTCTCTAAATTCAAAATCCTTGAACATCCTGTGCTCCAAACATTTCTGACAACCAAGTGCATTTGTTCCCACTTGTTTCTCTGCGCACGATTTTCCTTTGTAAATACACTTGCAACATTTCTAAGGTCAAGGATGCTTAAAAAATTGTTTTTCCCCCCAACCTCTACACATCCTTTACACCTTTTCACAAAGTCAAGCTTTCATTGTGTCTATCTCACTTTCTTGCCCATTGTCCCACCAAATAATTTTCTTAGATGTGGTTCTTTCTTCCTGAAAGCAAGCTTTTCTTATTGTTCATGGGAATACTCATGACTGAGTCTGCTGTTTGTGTTTTGTTTTATTAAGTGATCTTGTATTAGAATGGAAGTTCTATGTATTTGTAAAAATCATCAGGAGCATTAAAAGCTGCAGCTATTTACAGGTTTGAAAGATTTGACAGTGTTCCTTTAAACAGATTTATTGTAGACAGGGTGTCTAGCAACTGTTTCTACTGATTCAAACTAATTTAAAAGAAGTGAAATTCCACAAGACAACTAAGTATGCTATGACACTGGCATCAATTTACTATGTAAAATACAATGCACTAACATGAATGCAGTTTATCAAGCTACATCACAATACTGCAAAGTCCACACTGTTGAAAAACAAGCACACGTGAGGTATTTCATGATCATGATCATATGGAGTGTGGTCCATGGAAGGACATATTTTACAACATAAGCAAACATGCAGAGAAGCAATGCTATTCAGCTGGGTTTGAACGTTAAACATCATCCCAAATTATAGTGGACTTCTGTAACAAAGGGCTAAAAATTGAATTCACTTCTTGGATTACATCTACTGTGTTAACAACCAGAAAACAATGCTTGTTATCTTATAAACTTCCAAATCACTTCAGCAGCCACACACTGAATAAAGGAAAACAGCCAGGGTTTTGCATCAAATTCAGGCAGGAAAAAAAAAAAAAGAAAAAAAAAAGAAAAAAGGCTTTTTTAAAAATCCTTCCTAAATGTAGCAATACGATATACAACAGTTTTATTATGTCATTTTGTAGACAAAAGAAAGGTAAAGGCAAATTTGTTTTCTAAAACAGAACAATCAGAACTTAAATTTTCAGTCCAGGTATTTTAGATTCTTGGCAGACAATGAGAATCCAAACCTTTTCAGGGAAAAAAAGGCTACTTTGCCAATGCTTTGCACTATTAGTTTTAAAAGAAGATAGGGGCAGGAAGAAAGTTTTCTACAATTTGCTACTAAGTGAGTAGGCTCTAATCCTTTTCTAAAAATAGCACACACACAAAAAAAAATCTAGAAAAAAGTCTCACGCTTATTTTTTTCAGGGACTCATGGCTGCAGATCAGATTTGACTCAGCAACATTAGACATGGTAGAATTTCCAGCCCTCCTCTCATTCACATTTTCAGTCAACTCCTTCAAATAAAATCCAGAAGGAATACTTGTCTGCCCTAAACACATCTGACAGTGCTCCACAGCAGTGTGTGAGGATAAAATTGTTACATGCCTGTAACTGGGGTGGAAGCTGGGGTTATCGATGGCTCGGTGCCCACTGCTCATTTCTTTCCAACACCGGATAAAGGGATTGTCACCCCACGTGAATCTCAAGCTGAATGGGATAAGGAAGGCTACCAAAGGCAGAGAGCCCTTTTGCAGCGATTTCAGCAGCTGGCTGACAATGCACTAGCAGCAAATTTCATAAGCCTGTTAACTAATTCAAATCTAGAGAGATTCGCACAGAGTAAAACACCACACACCATCTTTCTGTTCAGGGCTATCAGCAGGTGCTTCAGTATAATTCTTACAGGCCTACCTGCATCTCTTTAAATACACCCCAGTAAGATTTGATGCTTGGCCTTTAGCAAAGTAAAGACTACACTACAGACTAGTAAAAGCCTATATCTCAGTTTACAAACCAAGTCTCGAGAGACACAGACTATCTCAAACCAGGCAGTTACAAATTACACTGCTTGTAATCTCTATGCCACTAAAGAACAGCTCCTTATTTTGGACAAAGTGATTTTTCCTTTATGAGCTTGTGTCAATTTATGCCAAATATTCCGTACATTACATACAGAATAGCCAGCTCAGCAGCACTGAGACCGAGCATGACTAATTCTTCACAGATGCATTGAAGCAGCCACAAAGTTTACTGGCAGTAAGATATTACAAGACAGTCTATCCCTTATTAAAATCATTCCATAGGTGACTACTCACTTTTAAAGTCAACAACAAACAACAGTCTAAAGCAAAAGTAAAACCATGTAGGTTCTCCGGAGAATGGGTTCACAGATGTTTCAGTCAAATCATTCTAAACAAAATCTTTACACCAAAAATATGATGTAACCTTAAGTACAGCTACACACAGAAAGAAAATCCACATTCAGAAGTTAAAATCCTATTTCTGCTATTAAGTATGGGAGCATTAACACTAATTTACTTAAAGATGTTTCTGATACATGAGAAGCACAAGCAAGCATTTGCTAGATTCAGTTGAGAGCAGCTCAAACTTATCAGCCTTGGGTTTTTTTTTTTCTTCTCAAAAAAGAACTGATCAATTTTACCAAACTATAAAGGTGGTAAAAAAAGGATGTAATTTTATCTGTGTGGTAAAACACATTCATTTCATTTCCATATGCAACAAAGTTTCTATTTTTCTTACCCTAGAAACCACCAACACTTGTTCTAAAAGTAACAAGCCTAAGTACCGATACTCAGCGTTAGATTTCACTTCAAATGATATTTCAAACATTAGGGTAAGTTATAAAATACTACAAAGTCTTTCAAATCCCTACCATAATGTGAGAAGTACATTATCAGTCTTAAACATAGTGTTTTAGTGACCAGAGGTTACTTAGGATCATGCCACTGGAAAACTGGGGTGCACTGATCTGAAGGTAAGGAACTGGGGTCCTAAAAGAAGTGTACTATACATTTTGAAGGAAGACAGCATTTCAGCCCAGAAATGGGCTGAATATTTCTGGTCTATGATACCAAAAATATATTGAAATTTGACCTAAGTTTTAGATAAATGAATTTAACAATGTGGCACAGGAGGAACTTTTAAAATGAACACATTTCCTGATAAAAAAAAATACCAGGAGAATTGACTAAAGCAATGTTTGAAGAAAGGGAGAATTTTTAACCTAAAAAAATTACCAAGTTTCAATTTGTTTTCAGCTCTATCGCAAGAGATTTCTCAAACATAAAAGTGAGGACATTCAACAATTTGATAATACACATTCTTATGAAACAGTGTATCTGATGGATGCTCTGAATTTATTTTGGCATTGACAAGTGCAACTGCAAATGCCACTTAAGTTCAAAAGATGCCACTCAGATCTTCAGATCACTTTGAGTGCATTTGAGGTCTGACATCAGGAAAAACTTCCATATTTTGTTTGGTTTGGTACCATTCCAAGATACTTGACTTATTTGGGCACTTTCTTCTCCCCAGTTTGGCAAAGCTGTGTTTCAGATAATGGCCATTCAGACATATTTTGCCAAGAAAATCCAGACTCTTTATACTGAGTCAGTAGAAACCATCAGAATGGACGACAAGCAAGAAACACCATAGCAAAGACCTTTTTAGTTTCATTACTGCTCATCCTGTCACACTCCACTTCCCCCTTTTACTGAGATACAGGTACTAAACAGTGACAGGGGGCCAATTTTTTAAGTCAAAATCAAAGATTAAGTCCTCTGAGTCATGAAGGAGATACTTGAGTAAAGCGTCTGCCAAACACTAAATATTTTATATAGACCCTTTGTTTATAGTTCTAATTTCCTAAACATCACAGGATGCCAAAGCAAGGAAGGTCAATCAAGCTGGGCAAGAGACATCGTGCTGTCAGTAAATTTCACCATCACACAGGTATTTCTATATCACAGTGAGATTGCTGAACTATCAAAGCAAAGGCTAGAAGGCAATTTTAGTCATAATGTCGCATCAGTATTGTGGCATCACACTGCAAACCCGCAAGTAAATTGTTAGTGGACCATACACAGTAAGTTACAATACCTGAGGTTTAGTGCATTCCTGTGAGCCAAAATGAAATGAATGCCATATAGGAGGAAAGGAAAAGATGAACATTATCAGACATGCCATAGTACATTCCACCACTATGAAGATAATGTTAAAATCATGTTAATGAGGGTCCACCATCCCATATAAGTTGGCTCTGCTGCAGAAAGCCATGCTGCAACTGAGAGCACTGCATTTCATTTTTAATTCTTGAAAACCACACCATGCATCTGCATTTCGCTCTATGCTTTTATGCTACAGAAAACTTTCTTCAGAAAATACTGTTTGAACCTTCTGAAGAAAAGCATTCAGAGTCTACTGCAAATAAAGCATAATTATTTATCAACAACCGAAATAATTCTACATGCTAACTCTATGAATTATGGGTAAGAAAATTACACATTGTGAAGATTTTGAGGATACTATGAAAGGAGCTTTATTACTTTAAGTTTCATATACGTAACACCTAAACTAGTACACATGCACATGGAAGAGCAAACTTGAAAAAAATTCTATCATATTAATCTTTTTTCAATTTAATTGAATTTAATGCTTCAATTTTTTAAAAAAATGTAAAAAGTAGAAACAAAGATGACAACCTGACAGATGCTGACCAAAGAATGATACACAACAAGTCCACAAGATATGTGCTATGTCTTGAATTCCTATGTGTTTCCAAAAAAATTCTGCTTTTATTCAGTCAATTTTTCAAGAAATTAAGACCAATAAAATGAGGTCAATGGACAAAAAATAGGAAGGGCAAAAAGACAATGCAGCCTGTAACATGTATGGTTAAAGCAATAGAAGTAACATTGCTAGTGGAAGTGAATGAGGGAATAATGTCTACAAGATCACCAAATACTGTAAAAATAGGAGGAAATGGACCAGCATGAAGAGTCACTAAATGCAGTTCATACATTTTAAAATTCATTTGAGCTTATTTGACTCTATTTGCCTTGATAAAAATAATAAAGCCAGACATAAGCATTATATTACACTTGGAAAAGCAACATTTTACTACAATTATTGTAAATTTTACAGTTTATTTGGCAATCTCTTCCATCTTAATGTGAAATCTCACTTGCAATGGATTTCCCAGCACATACACAAAACCATTATGAACTTGTACAACAGAATAGCACAGGATGGACTTTTGCTTTTAGTACCAGTTAAGCTTACAAAAACTCATCAGGCACACCTAAAGTGAAATTTATACAACAGGCAAGGACCTATGAATGCAAACGGCACTGTGTAATCTAAATATTGCCCTTCTAGTATTGGGCACAAATCACACTACAACTGTTTGCTAAGCACAACACACACATCTAAATAATAAGAACAAAAGTAATTCTTTCTGTAATTCCTACAAAGTACGATACCTCTTTTTCTTTTTTTTTTTTTTTTCCAAATACAGGCCAGTAAAATGTTTTATTTTCAAACCAAGTCAACTGGCTCAATTCACCTTAAATCTAGAGGCAATTAAAACTGCACTGAAAATTAAACCACTAAAAGCTGTTGTATAAACAAAACCAAATTGTTGGCATAAAATGTAATTATTCAAGTCATGAGGAAAAGCCTGTATAATTAACAGATGTAATCAAACATCTACACACTTACAGACACACACTGAATATACAGTGAACTGGCAAACAAGTCAAGGAATAAAGGGTAAGGAAAGAAAAACTGAAAAAGCTAATAACTGCATTCTACCAATTATGGCATTTTAAAATCACCAGAATTCTCATCCTGCAAATTTATATGTATACGGCTTACAATGTACAAAATTCAGCCCATGGAACTCAATGAGATTAAATATGCACAAAGTCATTTATGCCCATGCCTTTATGGTTCTACCAGATTTAGAGCTTAAACAAATAAATGAGAGGCAAAGACAAACAGCTTTTTCCGTATTTTGCTCACAGTTGTAATCAACGCAAAACCAACATATAAATCTAATAGAGCTTTTCTCAGTTTAAAAGCCATATAAAATATTTCATAGAAAAAATTTTAACTATTAGTTTATTTTCATCTCCAGTGAAAGTCTGGAAACATATATAGATTCCCTCCCTCACCCCCTAAAGCAATCAAGTAAAATGACTAAATTATTTCCTCCTTCATGGGCCAACAATATAGCTCACTAAAATCCAAGTATAAAGGGTAAATACCGTCAGAAGTTAATTTCAATTTTACATTTCAGTTCTCGATTCCAAAAAGAAATGACAGATTTAACCCAATTTGGCGTACTGCAACGCAGCACAGTCCTTTTCAGGCAACACCTGTTATCACATATGTGAATGAGTGCTTCACTAACTGACCTTTTAACACAGTACACTGAACTAATTCTACTGTAACTTAATAGAAAAGGAAATGAGAACAGAATTTCCTTAACTATTTCCCATAATGATTGGAACATTAAAAAATAATACATGACATTCACAGTCATAAGAAACGTACTTTCACCTCTGAACTAAGATGCAAGCTGCACACATGTTCACGTACTGATGGAGCCACATTCACAGTGATCTTGAAGGGAAACCTCCCCATAGAAGCACACTTGAAAGATACCAGCAAGTTTAGCCATTCTCCCCGTGTTTTAGTAGTTTTCCTGTTTGTCTTTTTGTGAACCATAAATACAGACAGCTTACCGTATGGTAGCCTCTAGGTAGAGGTGGCTTCCCCACAGGATAAGGGTCAACGGTATCAATAATTGTTTGTCGCTCCCCTTTCTGGTTGATTTTCCTAAATCTTCTTCGAGATTGCCTGTGAGATGCTTGACGTTGGAAATACTCCTCATTTTCTTCCATGTAATCAACCTACAACAGATGCAAGAGAGTGTCTCTTTCCCCGCAAGAGAGAAAACTGTTCCCTCTTGTTTGAAACAGAAGAAATCCTATTTTTAAAAAGCAGCAGCCAGATTTGAGTTTGCTGCATTTTCAGCACTAAGTGTGAAATCACTACTAAAAAAGAAATAGAAGAACATTAGTATGAAAAGAATCACAGAATATGATCACTTGTCAAAAATGGCAGAAGTTAAGTTCTCCCTTCTTCACCCCTTACTTACACTTGCAGAAATACAAACATTTCACCAATCAATACATTCCAGAAAGGAAACTGGTACAAAAGAACACTTGCCTGTTTCCCTATTGACATGTATTCAGATTCATGGCAAAAGCTTCACTCTTCAGGCAGGACTGGTTTTATTTTATTTATTTATTATTTCAAATATTTTGAAGGCATAAAAGGATTTCTAACAGACAGTTTCCCTGTCTACAGAGTTTGAAGACTACTTTACTACAAAACAGTATGCTGCCATGAAAATACTTGAACTAATAATTCTGGTTTTCCCAGAAGAGAATGATCTTTTTGCAGTAATTTGGATGAAAATCAACATCTCTTCTGTGTTTACCCTAACTAATAGAAACCTTACTCGAGTTATTTGAGACTAACAAGGAAATGAATAAAAGAATCACAGCTTCCAGCACTGTCTACATGTCTAGTTCCATCCCTCAGGATGAGAGATGAGGCACCTCACAAGGTCCCTGCACATTTTTCAACGAGGAAATGTTAGACAAAATACTCCTATGAATTTGCAGCTTATCCATGTCAGAAGCGTCACACATCAGTCAGCCCGAGTGACAAAGCACAGCTTTCAGTGCACTAACTCAAACGCATGAGCACAGCCCCTGGCTCACCAGAAGAGCAAGCAGTTTACCCCTCTGTAGGGAGGATCTGTTTCACGTCTGACACCTTCACACTCACACCCTGCTACACCTCTTGTGTGCCCAAACAACTCTGGGGATAGGATTCTTTTTATTCAAAATACAATTACTCCTTTGAGAGCCTGAGTGAAGTGTTCAATTTCATCTTTCCAGAACTGTAGAGGTTACATTTTCTGGCAAACACTTGCCTCTGACCTAACATTATCCATCAGCCAAAAAATTTCTTGTTGTTTAGTCATCTCCTTTCCCAATACCTATCTTTATACCACTCTTCCTTATAACTTAAGAAGAAATGCATGTGGAACAGGCAGACATTTACACAGGTACAACCAGTGCAATTGTGTACTTCTAGAAAACAAAACTGGAACAACAAACTGTTTCCCAAATGGTCAGATGTGAGTTACACAAACTGGTAATAAACAAGCACAATCCTAAAGTAATACCACATTTTCCCGAGCTTCCACAGGTTTTACAGAAAATGTTACTTTTGAGGGAAAAAAATGGTCAGTATCACAGTCTATATTTAAGCTATCTATATGGCTTAGATAACTGTCATGCCTGTATTATAAACTGATCTGTATCTCTGCGACAGAGAAAAAAAAACTAGCCCACCAATTCTGCATTTGTTCAGATGATGTGCCCTGAGGTGCCAACTAAAAGTTTTAAGCCTGTGAACCCTCAGAGACAATGTTCTGCCACTGGACTACAGCAGATGCTGCTAACAAAATACCCTCACCATCACCCAGGAAGGTTGACAGAATTTTAAAACATTCAAATTTATTCTTAAAAACCTGAGACGGTTGAGATTAAATTTAACTCAAACATTAATTACTTAAACTAACCTGAGCTTAATACTTTAAAGCATCTATGTTTACCAATAATAATAATAAAGCTGTTTAAAAAAAAAAAAACCACAAACTATTCTGCCAGCACAAGAAAACTTCAGTTTTACAAGAAATCTGAAAAAGTAAATGTAAGAACAATAAAAATTATAGGTATGACATCTTATATTTATTAAAAGATCATGTGGAAACCAGAAAATCGCAAGTCTTATTGGAAGCTGAAGTGTTACCAAAGCTGGTCTGTAAAATTTGAAAGCAACTGACTGAAAATATTCTTACCACAATCATTTCAGATGGCTCTAAAACAATGCATTCACACCCACGTCGGAAGCTGCCGGCAGAACGCTTGCCAAAACTGAAAACCAAAAAATATTTCAGTTAGAAAAGAAATATAAGCTATAACAGAATTCATAAGCATTTTAAATCTTAGCCAGCTATTGCAAAGCAGAGAAAAAACATACATACCTGTGCACGGTACAAGTTTCATGCATATGTCCTTTGACAAGTAACTGCGAGCCAAGGACACTGAGAGCTGTGTATTTTGTATTCACATATTTCCCTAAGAGTATTTGCTAAATAAGTCTATTTAGACCCAAACAAGTGTCAATCAAGAGCTGTCTACTGAAGAGGCACGGTTGATTCTGAACTGCATTAGAGAGTTTGATCTAGTATCTTCTGGCATTACAGTATTAAGTTACCTAAGCTATCTGCATTTCTTTAACAGAAGCTAACTGGCATACCAAAGAAAGAATTAAAAGACTGATCAACTTCAGTTAGAGCTCTTTTCTACTTAAAATGAATTAATAAGGAAGATAAGTGTATTCCCAAATTAAATAGATGAAGACAAAAGGTTGCTCTGCCCTTTCACGAGGCATTCTCATCATAGTAGAATAATTAAACATTATACTATTTTGATCCCTGTAAGAAAAAACTAAAAGGTTTTTTGTTTTGGTTTTTGGAGTGCCCATATTAGATGTATTTGTGCACCTGCAGGCTTCACTGCAAAGAATCCTCAAAGTGCAGATGTAAAGGCGGAGCGCAGAGAACCAGTACATGATTCAGAGAAATCCAGGACTTCTACAGTTAGATCCTTAATCATACACCATCAGAGTGGAAGAAAGGCAGCCAGCTAAAGTTTGTATCGGGGGTGTGTAATTCTTCCTCTGGGTATGAATGCCAGGTCAATGCCAAACCTTTCCCATCGCAGACTGGAGGGCAGGACAGACACCAAAATGCCTGCAACTTCAGGACTCCTCTAAGTTTGCTGTAACCAATCCACCCTAAAATAGCTGAGAGGCAATATAACTATTTGGCCTTTCCCTTTCTTCCACTTGGCACTGCACAATAAACGAAACCTTCCTGTCCGAAGCACCCAGGGCAACACCTTGGAAAACAAACCAAACTCAACAAAACCGCAACATCTGAATTTTAACCAATGCAGGCATGTGGCAACACACTGAAACTTCCGTGTTTGTGAAAGGCAACTGTTTTAAGCTTTATTTCCTAACTCACCAACTGCAGTTCACACATCATTCGGAACAGTCTATCTAGCTGGTTCATATCTATGCTCCTGTCCTGCCTGGCCATCAGTAGAAATGAACAATTTAACTGCTACCCCAAAGGCTAATCTCTTGACAACAGCACATTTATAGGCTCAAAAAGAAGGCAGTCAGATATTGAAAAGAAATGCCAGCTGTGCTTATTCATCAAAATAATAATCGCATTTAATGGTACATGGGACTTTTACAATAGAAAAAATTTTCCAGAATACTAGGCCTCTTGAAAAGAAATATTCAATAAAGAAGTCTCTGAACAAAATGCTTATTTTCCTGGAGGCAAACACATGCCTCATCCTACAGTCCAGCAACAAAACACAGGGTTCTTTACTCTACAATACCATCTTGAATTTTATACAATTTCAACTACTCTTAAAGACACCAGAAAATTAAGTCATTATACTGAATCATTAAACTGTTTTACAAGTGTCAAAACTTATTTTCTTGGCCAATAGTCTGATTCATATCACAGTTTTTCCTTAGAAACAGAAATGAGGAGTAAAGAAAGGAGAAAATAAATCAACTCATTGGTTGAAAAATGAAAATGCAAAAGATGGTGATTAATAAGTCAACTTATTTGATATTCTAGTTGGAAGCACACAGAAATATTCTCTTCCCACTTAGAAAACACATATTGCTGTATTTTTGCTAACCCATTTTTGTAGCCTCGGAGCAAGCACTCATTTCAACAAAAAATGTATATACACTTTTCAACTCCACCTTTTTTCCTCCTCTATTGCTGTCTGTAAGTATCAACTTTAAACTTCTGTCTGTTGCTAATCACTGCTGACGTGCCAAAGTTTCAAGCATTAGCAAACAGAATACAAACAAAAAGCTGTGTTTTGGATGTGCTTTTCTATTCTTGAATAACTTGTTTAGATTTCACCTTTTAGCACCAGAGAACAAGTAGTCAACATACTAAGACAGAATGCATGAATTCAGTTACTATAAAGAAAATTCTATATTTCTGCCTCCAAATAACACACTGGTTTTCACAGCAAATAACTACACCATTCTTGGACTATTCAGACTCCTATGACAGCACAAAATTTATCAGAGCAGACAGTGCATCACATGTATATATTATCTTTGACCAAAGATCACAAGGCACTTCAGGCTATAAACAAACTCTCTAAACTTTGTCAAGTGCTGTAAGAAAGAATACAAGTAAATCAAGGCACAAGGAAGTTAAATGACCTTTCAAGCATTGCCATTCTCAGACGGCCACTCCAGCTAAACCTCCTGACTTCCAAACACTGGTGAAAATTCATCACCAGTGAGGAATTCACATAATCAGTGAAAATTAGGGAACTTTCTTGTTACTGTCCACTACATCTGGGCACTTCAGAATTGTCCATCTCCAGCTGTGGTAGAACATCCATCACAACAGTGCACACCACCTCTTGCAGAACCACACTTGAATACAGGTTTTTTGTTTTGATGTGCAGCTCTGAGAAATAACTGGCATCTTAGGGTACTGCTAATCCTGCTGTTTCAATTCATAAGACTGACATCAAAGTCAGTAAGTTGTATCTGAATTAATTTACCAGAGTTTCCCACAGGAGCAAAAATAAAAGATGAACAAAAAAGTAGTTCAGTGGCAGTCTTCTCCAAAATGCCTAGCTGCAGTAACTTGCCACTCAGTAGAGGAAGGCATCAAACAAACTCAATTTAATTGAAAACATGTTCATTTGAAACATTAGCCTGCAACAAGAAGCAGCAAATACCCAACACGTGATACAGTCTGTTTACTGTGCTGATAAAGTCCAAAATGTAAAACCTTGTATAGAATTATTTATTACAAGAATGTGAGGCACTGGAACAGGTTGCCCAGAGAACATGTGGATGCGCTATCCCTCGAATTGTTCAAGACCAGGCTGGATGGGGCTCTTGAGCGACTTGGTCCAGTGAAAGGTATCTCTGCCCATGGCAGGGGGTTGAGAATTATCTGATCTTTCAGGTCCTTTCCAACCCAAGCCACTCTCTGAAATACCAGCAGAAGAACTTCACATAAGGGACCAGGAGCAGGCAGGTAAACTGGCTTGTGGGATGTTAGGTATCACACACAAACAGTACCACGCAAATAAAGCTTCAGTGGAAGGGCTGATTATCTTCTTAATATCAGCTCTACTTCAGTAACTTTGACTGAAAAATATTCTTTACAAAATTCTGATGCCAGACTTTCCATAGAAAGTGAGTTTGACTACCCAGATTTCTCACAAAATAGTCAACCTAAGTACTGGCTAGCTAAAGAACAATGTAGAGAGCCTTTATCAGCATGTTTCAATAGATCAGGGATTTGACAAATTTACTTCTTCCCTTACTGTAGGGTGAGATAAGCCTGTGCATATAGAGAACTTAAGCTTAAACCCCATTTTTGTTTTTAAAATGCAGTGGAGAATTTTACATTATATACATTTCACATGTGGTTCTATCATACCATTCCATTTAAATCAAAACTGTCTTATTGAGCCTTATTAATTTCAACTCTTAAATATAGTTTGTTTGCAACTATTAAGGCAACGTTACATCTGAAAGAATCACAGGTTTGCAACTATTTTCTCTAAATTGGTGATGTGCATAAGAGAATTTCACCAAAGGAAGATAAGGCAGTTTAAAGGTATCCTTGCAATTGTAGCTGTCAATATGGAACACAGAGGTTATAACAGTAATTTAGAAAGCCAGAAGGGCTGCCTGGTCAGGATATTGCTGCCTCACCTGAATTCCCCAGAGAACCTTGCTTTGCAGCAACTTTTCCAACACTTTTCTTCCATACTACCACACAAGCTCTGACTTGACATTGCCCAAGTATTAAGCTTCACAGATGCTCTCCTCAGTACCTGTCCTAGAGATAATTTCACTTCTGGAGTCCTTTTCTATCACAGTACTTGTATTCACATAGGGATACCTAAATTAAATTAGGTTTACATTCACATCATGAATGCATGATGTGAATATAAACCTAATTTAATTTAAAAAAAATAATAACACCAACTACCCCTTCCCCAAAAAAAAGAACAGAACAAAACAAAAGAAACAAAAAGCCCCAACGCAAACAACTACATAAATATGTATAAAAATATTATTTACAGGAATCCACTGTATAGTGGACAGCCAGGTATTTTCCCCAAGAAATTTCTCCCTAACTATACCCTTAAACTCCCTAACTATTCCTTTAAACAACTGACAAAAGTCTAATTTCCCACTTGACTATTCAAAAGCGTTATTTCAAAAAAAAGTAATTAGTATTTAAAAAACCACTTTTTTTTCTCACCATGTACTAAAAGCAGGTATTTTAACCCATGTAAGTAGTTTACAGTTTCATTTGCATTTTAATGCATTCTTAAATTGAATTTACACTGATCAGAGATGACAGTTCCCCTATCCATAAATGTATCTTACTACATACATTTCTCAGCTTACAACTTGCTATACTGAAAACATACATAGCTGGCTAAAGAACAGAGGTGTCAGTATTCAGGTTTCATGCTTGTTAACAGAAGACAAGTTTTAAATTAAAATTAAGGATTTTGATGTTTCCCAAGTTTACATTCTCAGTCTTCATTAAAAAAACTCTTCACTCTTATGAAACTACAGTAGTTTAAATGTGCCTATGGCTAACAAACAACAGAATAATTTAGGACCACTGTCTGCATTTATTCCTCTTCAAATTTAATAGATTTAGTAATAAAACAAAACAACAAAGTACTTCAATTAAATGAAACATCTAAAGCCACAAGCAACACATGCATTTTTATAAGCACTTACACACAGAGACAGCCAAAAACTTGCAGGTATT